AAGAAAAACAATCTGCCTGGGGAAATTGTGGTAAAATTCTTGAAGAGGCATGTGAGGGATACAATCCTGAAAGCAGTACCTGGAGCACCCCTGAAAGGGGGGAGAATACCATCAGGACGTTAAAAGACATTCCATTTGAAATAAGACAAAGGAGAAAGAAATATAAAGAGTTAATTCTTTTTCTACAGACAAATGCAATTGGATATAAATGGTTAACTCCAGAAGGCGTAACCTTCAAAATTAAGGATAAAAAAGAAAAGATTGACTCTGTCCAGAAAGCATGGGAATTTTAAAGAGTCCAGATGGGAGGGCCAGGGAAGGAAGGAGAAAAAGGGGAGGACAGCAAGTCCAATGGCGAGCTGGACTCCTCCGGAAAGGACTCTCTTTCAGAGAAAGGGGCAGCGGCCCCTAAAAGTTCTTATAAGCTTCGGAAGAGAATAGGCAAGGAGAAGTAAAGGCTGAAGGACTCTGAATTGTGCCTTTAAAAAGGGTTGAAGTGAGATGCTTTGGGGTGTTTCTGTATAACAGTTGAATCTAAGATTTGAAAAAGATAATGTTTAACTTGACTCAGTTGATAGCAAGTCTAATGGGATAAAGACTAAATGTATGGTTAAGCTGGTGGGATGATCTCCTCTTGGGTTTTTAGTCAGTAGTGGGTATCTTTCTTTATCCTATAAATGTAGCTCCCCCTCCCTTTTTTCTGTTGTAGTTTTGTAGTGTTATAAAAATGCAATAAAAAATCCCCTCCGGGGGCTTAAAAAAAAAGGGAAAGGAAAGGGTAGAGATGGTGACACATATACCTTCCATGTTTCAGACCAAATGCTTCTGAGCAACACACTGATTACTGTATTTTAAAGCATTGTATTTAAAGCACTGTATTTTAAGAGTGATTCCTGTGGATACTCCTTATTAAAAAAAAAAAGGAAAGGGTAGAGATGGTGACACATATACCTTCCATGTTTCAGACCAAATGCTTCTGAGCAACACACTGATTACTGTATTTTAAAGCATTGTATTTAAAGCACTGTATTTTAAGAGTGATTGCTGTGGATACTCCTTATTAAAAAAAGAAGTAAAGGGATCTGCGTTACCTGTTTATAACAATAACCACTAAGGCCCAAGTTTCACTTTACGGGAATACAGGTGGGCAGTTGTTTCTCTCCAATGATATGTGATTGTGGCTGCCAGGTTTTCCTGGCAGCAGCCACCAATCCAGGGGAAAAGTGAGCCAAAAATCAGTTGTGTTGATGATGTGACATCATTTCCAGGGTCAACCTCTGAACATGAAAGTTAGGTTGTTTTGAGGATAATTTGAGAGGGGAGAGAGCTCCTTGGATGAAGGAAAGGGTAAAAATGTAATAAATACAAATAAAATTGATGAAGGACAATGATAAAGCATTTTAGAATCTTGGCCTAAATTGTTTCCTTTTTTTTTCTTTTTAGCCCCCTGGAGGGGATTTTTTACTGCTTTTTAATAGACCACAAACTGCAACGAAAAATTGGGAAGGGGTAACTACATCTAGGGAGAAAGGAAAGAAAACCACAACTAACTAAACCCCCAAGTATAGGAGATCATAACAACAGCGTATATAAATGTTAATCTTAAATTACTAGTATGACTTTGAACATAGTCGGCTATGCTAATTTTTAAAATCTCTTTATCCAATGTTTTATCCATTTAAGAGAACCCCCAGAGCATCCCACAATAAAACTAAAGTTTAAAGGCACAATTCAGAGTCCTTCAGTCTTCATTTTGTCTTATCTTTTCTAATCCTTTATTTATATGTACGCTTGGGGGCAGCCGCCCCCTTATCAGAAAGAGGGTCCGTGTCGTAAGACACCGAGTCCAATTCGCCACTGGATTTGCTGTCATCTTCTTCCTTCTCAACCTCGGCTGGCTCTCCCAGCTGGACTCTCAGGAACTCACGTGCTTCGGAAACAGAGTCAATCTTTTCTTGTTTTATCTTGTAGTTTGAAAATGACTCCTTCTGGAATTAACCACCTGTAGACAATGCTGTTTGTTTGAAGAAAAAGGATTAAATCTTTATATTTCTTTCTCTTTTGTCTTATTGGAGCTGCTGAGTTGCAAGATTCTGGTTTAGATTCGTCAGCTGTTGTTCTATGTTAGTCATCTGGTCCAGCAGAGGGTAGCAAGGACTCTGCCAACATTTTGGAGAGCTCGGTGGTCTCTTCCGGTTGAGGGCTCAAGATTCCGGCTGGTTTCACTTTTACTGGTTTGTCTTTCTCTGCCCTTTTCCCTGCCAGCTTTATGGATTGTTTACTTTTATGAAAACTTGCTAAAGTCTCTGAAATACTCTGAACGCTTATCTGCGCTCTGGTAAGTCTCTCAAAACAGATTTCAACGCTTTTTCTTCTGCTCCCCCCATAGTATTTCGTTGTTTAGTTCATGCGTATGGGAGGGGCCCCTCCCCCGCTCGCTTTTGTCACTGTTCCCAGGGGGTAGCTTTCTTTTTAAATTCTCATTTTGCTTTAACCCAACTCATAGTTCATTGTTGGTCATATGACCTCACTCAGCATACGCTCGATCTCCAATGCTTGTCTCGGCCAGCGGCTCTAAATCCATACGGACACTCAGCGGCAGGACCATCGGGGTGGAGGAGCGCCTCAATTCCCCAGCATCGCACTGGCGAAGAGGCCACCCCTCAAAAGCCCCATGGCTAGGAGCCTTTTGCCAAGGCTCCGGGGGGGGGGGTAGCACCCCGTCGCCCCCCCTTTCCGCTAGTGCACAGATCACATCCCCGGGTGGTCCAGGAGATGCAGCCGCCAGCGTGTCACCATAAACCGGAAGCCGCCTAAATTGTTTCCTGATGTACAGAAAACCTCTGTTCATGTTCTAAGAAATGCTACCAAGAGAAGACTCCCCATCAACAGTTTTCTTTCCCATGGATGCTGTACAACTGATGTGGACAGACAGTGGACAGTGATCCACAGGCCAATTTCCATGGGACCTTCCAGCACTTGCAGGTTACTTTACAAAGAATGCAGGACTAGGTGAGTTTCGATCTGCTTCAGTGAATCACTCATCACAAATCAGCTACACAGACTATTAAGAGATTGAGTATTTCAGTCTTGCTTTGTAAATTTAAAATAACAGTGGTAGACCTTAGGGAATCTTGTGTGTGTGTGTGTTTAAAAATAGTAGACCACACAGGACCAGTCAACTTACCCCTGCTTTAACGCCTAAAAACAGTAAACCAGTTAAAGCATCATCAGCAACACAAACCAGCAGAGCTTGTGGTTAATTAACTCAATCACTGTACAAATCTCAAGCAATACTTGAAAAGACAAAGATACATGATGAGGACCCTTGATATTTGAAGCTCTGCATTATCCCACTGATGACAAATCAGTGGCAAGGAATCCTGATGGAAGAGGCTGAGAAGAACCCATGATTAGCATCAGTGAAACTCTACAGGAGCTGATCTTTTTTCATTTTCTTTTTGAAAATCAGGAATGTAAGCACACAGTGGGCATATCCATTTCATTGTGCATATTCCCATTGTCCTCAAAAGCAACACCTAGAGGCCTTCTACAATGCCCAAGTCTGTTTTACTCTCTCCACTTTCCTGACCAATAGGAAGCTCTAAGAACAGCCTAAAACTGACCAAAGAGATTGCATGGTATTCCTTAACATTGGTCTGTTCACAAGAATACATGATGCGAATACTGGAGATGGCAGAGTAAGTCCTTAAAGCAGCATCTGTTCCTCAAAAGCAAGCATCTCTTTCCTAAACCTCAGACTCCCAAAGCCAGGAGGTAACATCAGAGGAAGGCCTCAGCCTCTATGGTTGGCCTCTGTGTCAAACAGGATGCTGGATTAGATGGACCATTGGTCTGATCTAGCACAGCACTTCTCATGGACCAAGACAGACTTCAAAATCCAAGGCATATGGAGATACTCACTTTTGTTTGGTCCAGTTTGCAAAAGCACAGCAATGGCTTGGGTATGTAAGGCTTGCTTCCATCAAGGCACGAAACTTCTCCATGGCAGGTAGCTTTTTTAAATTGTAGGTAGATTTTGCAACCAGCTTGCTTATGTGCTCCAATCCAATGCTGGGCAGGAAGCTGATCTTTGTCTCGGAAATATCCCTTTAAAAAGAAATGGGATAGTTTCTTATTCAAAACAGTCCCGTTAGCTGCAACGTGCCTCCCCCTCCAAAATGCTGAAGACATTTCAGACTCTGCCCTCATTGGCAACTTGAAAAAAGCTCTCTGATAAACCATGGAGAGTAAAAAGAGAATGGAGTGCACAATTGAGTCCCACTGAATCCAATGAGCCTTACTTTTGAGTAAACATTCATAGGCCTGGGCACAAGAGCCATGTTCCTTACTGGGATTACTTTAAAAGAAATGATGCATTTTTACCTTCTAATCATACCAATATTTCCCCCCAGTGTAGTAAAAACATTCCAGGGTGGCGTTTTTCACCTGGAAAATGGCATGGGAGGGAAGGACTAGAAAGACCTCCCCCCTGCATCATTCTTCCCTTTAAATAGCCGATCCAACAACTGAATTTGGGGAGGGGAAAATTATTTGAAAGTCAGAACAGGACTACATACGGTGGCAATTTCAGACTCATTTACTGATTCAGATCTCTGTGCTAGGATTACTGATGTTAGAGAAAACTTGGGTTGGTTATTTCAGCTAGGGTAACAGGATGCAAACAAAGGCAGAGCTCCTGTATGCTGGGTTGCAGGATTTCTTGGCATGTGCAACTTTTCTCACTTCTGCATTGTAATTTTTGTCACTTGTTTGTCCCTATTGCTTTGGGTCCCCCCCTCCCTTTCCACATGTGAACATAAGAACATAAGAGAAGCCAATGTTGGATCAGGCCAAAGGCCCATTCTAGTCCATCACTCTGTCACACAGTGGCCAAAAATACCAGGTGCCATCAGGAAGTCCAGCAGTGGGGCCAGGACACTAGAAGCCCATGTTGCCCCCCCCCAGCACCAAGAATACAGAGCATCATTTGCCCCAGCCTGAGAGTTCCTATCTATACCTTGTGGCTAATAGTCACTCATGGGTTTCTGCTCCATATGTTTATCTAATTCCCTCTTGAAGCTGTCCATGCTTGTAGCCGCCGCCACCTCCTGTGGCAGTGAATTCCATGTGTTAATCACTCTTTGGGTGTGATTCCTTTTATCAGTTCTAACCCGACTGCTCAGCAATTTCTTTAACCTTTCCTCATAGGGAAAGTGTTCCAACCCTTTTATCATTCGAGTTGCCCTTTTCTGCACTTTTTCCAAAGCTATAATATCCTTTTTAAGGTGTGGTGCCCAGAACTGCACACAGTATTCCAAATGAGGTCTCACCATTGATTTATATAGGGGCATTATTATATTGGCTGATCTGTTTTCAATACCCTTCCTAATAATCCCCAGCATAGCATTGGCCTTCTTTATTGCAGTCACACACTGTCTTGACATTTTCAGTGAGTTATCTACTACAACTCCAAGATCTCTCTCTTGATCTGTCTCTGCCAGTTCAGACCCCATCAATGTGTATTTATATTTAGGATTTTTGGCTCCAATGTGCATCACCTTGCACTTGGCCACATTGAACCCCATTTGCCATGTTGATGCCCACTCGCCCATCTTTGACAGATCCCTTTGGAGTGCCTCACAATCCTCACTGGTTTTCACCACCCTGAACAACTTCGTATCATCCGCAAATTTAGCCACTTCACTGCTTACTCCCAACTCCAAATCATTAATAAACAAGTTGAAAAGCATTGGATCAAGTACTGATCCCTGTGGTACCCCACTGGTTACCACCTTCCACTGAGCAAATTGCCCATTTATACTCACTCTCTGTTTCTTATTAATTAGCCAGTTTTTCATCCACAAAGGACTTGTTCTTTTATCCCGTATTGAGCTTGCTTAGGAGCCTTTGATGAGGAACTTTATCAAAAGCTTTCTGGAAGTGAAGGTAAACATCTATTCATCCCCCTTGTCCACATGTTTGTTCACTCCCTCAAAAAACACTAACAGGTTAGTGAGACAAGATCTTCCCTTACAGAACCCATGTTGAGTCTGCCTCAATAGGTTTTGTTCATCTATGTGCCTACTAATTCTTTCCTTAATAATGGTTTCCACCAATTTACCCGGTATCGACGTCAGACTGACTGGCCTGTAATTTCCCGGATCTCCTCTGGAACCCTTTTTAAAGATGGGAGTGACATTAGCTACCTTCCAGTCCTCAGGAATGGAGGCAGATTTTAATGAAAGGAGCACACAGGAGATTTTTGTCAGGAGATCCACAAGTTGACATTTGAGTTCTTTCAGAACTCTCGGATGTATGCCATCAGGGCCTGGTGATTTATCAGTTTTTGTTTATCAGTCGTAGGATTTGTCTATCAGTTTTAGGACCTCCTCTCTCGTCACCTCAATCTGACTCAGGTCTTTCAACACCCCTCCCGAACCCAGCGGTTCTGGAGTGGGCAAACACTTCTCATCTTCCACAGTGAAGACAGAGGCAAAAAATGCATTTAGCTTTTCAGCCATTTCCCTATGATCCTTCAGTTCTCCTTTTACCCCTTGGTCATTCAAGGGCCCCACTGCCTCCCTGGCTGGTTTCCTGCTTCTAATGTATTTGAAGAAAGTTTTATTGTTGGTCTTTATGTTTTTTGCTATATGCGCCTCATATTCCCTTTTTGCCTGCCTGACCATAGACTTGCATTTTATTTGCCAGGTCACCTATTTGCCAAGTCACAGGCCGCTCTCTCCAGAGCTTTGGAGGACCACGCCCACCATCAACGGGCCAAAACCGGAAGTCTAACAAAGTTTAATTTCTGAGTATAAGTGAGAACTGAGTGACTTAGCATGTATAGTGAGATAAGAAGCCAATATCTGAGGACAATGGAATCCCCAGGGCTTAACAGAGATATCCTGGTACTGATCCACAATTTCATTTGTAAAGTGAACGTGTATTGGCTCTTTGCTACAAAGAGATGTACACATGTACAAGAAATATGTATGCATGTTCACTTTTTTTTTTTGGGCATTACTTAGGACCAAATCCAGGGTTGCCTCTCCCCTGGTAGGTTCTGTGGCCATCTGTTCCATAGCACAGTCATTGAGAGTGTCTAGAAACTCAATCTCTTTCCCCCCTGACATGAACACATATTGACCCAATCAATGTGTGGGTAGTTAAGATCACCTATTACGACACAGTTATTTCATCTAGCCGCTATCTTTAATTCATTCATCATTTTATAATCCTCCTCTATCTTTTAATCTGGAGGGTGATAACAAACTACCAGTGTTAAGCTTCCTTTTGGGTCCACTATTTCAACCCATAACATTTCCAGAAATGAATCCAATTCTCTTACCCTTTCAGTCTTACTGGACTGTATACCCTCTCTGACATACAGAGCCACCCCACCTCCAACCCTTCCCTCCCTATCCTTCCGATATAATTTATAACCAGGAATCACCATATCCCACTGATTTTCCTCATCCCACAAAGTTTCTGAAATACTCACAATGTCTATTTCCGCCCACCCAACACCAAGCATTCCAATTCCCTGATTTTACCTCGAACACATCTAGCATTTGTGTATAAACACCTATAGTTTCCCACGCATGTTAAGCCCACAACCCTCTTGCTGCCTCGAGACCTTGCCAGGCAGTCTATATCATTAGCCACAGTCTTATTGAACAATTCTAATCCTTTTCCTTGTAGAGAAGTAACAGCTACCCTTTCATCTCTTTGAGATGAGCCATCCTGAACCAGAAACTTTTCATGTCGGCTTTCCCCCAATATTCAGTTTAAAAACTGCTCTGCCACCATTTTGATTTTAAGCGGCAGCAGCCTGGTTCCTTCTCGGGACAAGTGGAGACCGTCTCTTTTGTACAGCCCCCTCTTGTCCCAAAAGGCATCCCAGTGCCTAACAAACTTGAACCCTTCCCCCCTACACCATCATCTCATCCATGCATTGAGACTCCTGATCTGTGCCTGTCTCTCTGGCCCTGCACGTGGAACACATAGCACTTCTGAGAAGGCTACCTTGGAGGTCCTGGCCTTGAGTTTCCTGCCTAGCAGCCTAAATTTTTCCTCCAGGACCTCACAACTGCACTTCCCCACATCGTTTGTGCCAACATGTACCATGACCACTGGCTCCTCCCCAGCACTACCAGCCTATCTAGAACATGCGTAACGTCCGCTACCTTCGCATCAGGCAGGCAAGTCACCCATACTAGACTACTAGAGAGAGCAAAACACATTGGGGGGGGAACTCTGAAGCAATAGGAACAAGCGAGTGACAAAAATGACAATGCGGAAGAGCCTAGCACCTCCTTCCCTCCCACCCTAGCAAACGTCCAAGGCAGGACATATGAAAGTGCCTCTGAAGACCATCTTAGTAATAGCAGCAAAGGCAATGGAGGTGACAACAGGCACAGATCACACCTGCCATCTCCTCCCATATTGCAGTCTCCTGTCAGCTTGGCACCCCAGATGGCTGCTGAGGTGTGGTGAGGTGAACCAGCTCAGCTCCAGTGCTCATCTGCCTATCCACTTCTTCCCCACCAACAACACACAGCCCTTTTTGTCCTTAGGCTTTGTGTGATGTTTCATCTCATCCATACACTGATCTTTCAGTTGTCTCAAAGAAACACTGCTCTTTGTCAAAGTTTATTTTTATTTATTTATTTTAAATTTTTCTAGCCCATTTCTTTGTAGCACAAAGGGGCTTATGAGAAAGCACAAAAACAATACATGAGAGATAAAATAGCAAGCAACAGTAAAGATAAAATAATCAGGCCCCAAGTTCAATACATAACAGGCCCCCCAGCACTTGAATCCAAGCCCAATATCAATAAAAACACAAGCCAAAGGTGAACAAGACCAGAAATGCACTTAACAATCCCAAAAATGTGTCAGCGGAGCTAGACAAGTCAAAGGGCTACCCTCTAACAACCTGTTAACATAAAATGACATTATAGCGCTCAACTTTTTAAACAGCCAGCGAGGGTGCCCTATACACCTCCTCTGCCAGACCATTCCTGATAGTGGTGTGGAGGAAACTACCAAGATGGCCATCAGTGCAACAGACGCCAAGTGTACTTTGTGAAAAGAGGGAAAGTACA